AAAAAAAAAAAAAGGACAAACAGCTCAAGAATAGCAAATGGGGCCAGGTACGGTAGCTCACACCTGTAATCCTAGCAATCTGAGAGGAGTAGCATGTAGATCATCTAAGCTCAGGAGTTCCAGACCAAACCAACCAAAGTGAGACCACATCTCTACTTAAAAAAAATAGAAAAACTAGTTGGGCATCACAGTGGGAGCCTATAGTCCCAGATACTCAGTAGGCTGAGACCAGAGGTTCACTTGAGCCCAAGAGTTTGAGGTTGCTGTGAGCTATGACACCAATAGCACTCTACCCCAAATGACCGAATGAGACTCTGTCTCAAAAAAAAAAAAAACAGAAAAAGAAGACGAAAAATTGCAAATGGCTAGATTGTTTGGGAATCCCAGCTCTGTCTTACTAGCTGTGTGACCTTAAGCAAGTCACCCCCTCTGAACCTTGGTTTCCTTACAAGGGAAATAATAGCCAACCTAGTGGCTTATCTCTCTAAGGCCCTGAAAGAAGAAAGGCAGAGTTTCTTCAAAGCAAACTCAAGGCTTCTGGGGTGCCTCAGGTAACTCCTAGAATTTAGTCTTATCTTTTGGCCCCTTGAAAAGTGGCCTAGATCTTCTGATGATCTGTCTCTATGTCCTAATAATTCTTGGCATTGATCTTATAAGTGTTCTGTGGTGCAAAGAGGGGAAGGAAACAGCTTGGGTCTTTCTCAGGAAAGAGAAAGGTAAGAGTGAGATGACTCTGGGGTAAGTAGTACGGGAATTTCAACAAGTCCAGATTTCACTAGCCAAAGCCAAATGCTAGGACCGGAGGTGGGGAAGGAAGTGGCTGAGGTTGGGTAATTGGGGAGTTTCTTTTTCTTTCAGTCTGCTATAATAGGATACGTGCTTAAAGCCTGACTGGCCACCAGAAAGGATTGCTTTTGGGGTGAGTCTAACTTCTTCCACAGGAAAGAGAATTGAAGGCTGAGAGACTCAGATAAGTACTTTTATGGTGAGTATACTTTTACCTTTTCAGTTTCCTCATCTCCCAGGTGGTAAAAAGAAAAAAAAAAAAAGCCTCTATGTGTATACCGGGGAGAAGAGTAGCAGGACCTAGAGCAGTATCTTGACTACGGACAGAAAACTCTGGAGGTCTTTGGGGATAGGGTGGAATTAGAAAGGTTGGTGAGCACTGCATTTACTAAGAGCATCTGGGTGGGTATTGAAGAGGCCTGGAGTTAGGGGAAAACAGAAACTAAGAGATATTTAGATAAGAACTTGGTAAAATCTTTGAGAATGGGAAAGGATTAAAAGAACCTAAGGAGAGAGTTGAGGATCTTGGGATGAAGAGGCCTAGGAACAAACGAACGAAGGGCAACTCTGGAAGTAATTCAGATGGCCCAAGGCCCAGAGATATTCAAGAAAGCTAAGTTGATGGCCAGCTTCTAATTCCTTCTTCCTCTTCTACCCCTTGCCTTTTCAGCTTCCATCATGTGGAACACTTCCCATGCCAACTTCTCCTGCTACCACGAGTCTGTGCTAGGCTATCGTTATGTGGCGGTTAGCTGGGGAGTGGTGGTGTCTGTGACAGGCACCGTGGGCAATGTGCTCACCCTACTAGCCTTGGCCATCCAGCCCAAGCTCCGTACCCGATTCAACCTGCTCATCGCCAACCTCACACTGGCTGATCTGCTCTACTGTACCCTTCTCCAGCCCTTCTCTGTGGACACCTACCTCCACCTGCACTGGCGCACTGGTGCCACCTTCTGCAGGATATTTGGACTCCTCCTTTTTGCTTCCAATTCTGTCTCCATCCTCACCCTCTGCCTCATTGCACTGGGACGCTACCTCCTCATTGCCCACCCTAAGCTTTTTCCCCGAGTTTTCAGTGAAAAGGGGATAGTGCTGGCACTGGTGAGCACCTGGGTTGTAGGTATAGCCAGCTTTGCCCCACTCTGGCCTATCTATATCTTAGTACCTGTAGTTTGCACCTGCAGCTTTGACCGCATCCGGGGTCAGCCTTACACCACCATCCTCATGGGCATCTACTTTGTGCTTGGGCTCAGCAGCGTTGGCGTCTTCTACTGCCTCATCCACCGCCAGGTGAGACGAGCAGCACAGGCACTGGAGCAATACAAGCTGAGACAGGCAAGCATTCGCTCCAACCATGTGGCTGGGATGGACAAGGCCATGCCTGGTCATTTCCAGGAGCTGGACAGCAGGCTGGCATCAGGAGGACCCAGTGAGGGAACTTCATCTGAGCCAGTCAGTGCCGCCACCACCCAGACCCTGGAAGGAGACTCATCAGAAGTGGAAGACCAGAGAAACAGCAAAGTAGCTAAGCAGAAGGCAGAGAAAAACCCTCCAGAAGCACCTTCCAAAGCCCGGCCCACTAAAGGAGCCCAAAGAGTTCAGGACTCCTCCTCAGAGTTTGGGAAGGTTACTCGGATGTGTTTTGCTGTCTTCCTCTGCTTTGCCCTAAGCTACATACCCTTCTTGCTACTCAACATCCTGGACACCAAGGTTCAGGCTCCCCGAGTGGTTCACATGCTTGCTGCCAACCTCACCTGGCTCAATGGTTGCATCAACCCTGTGCTCTATGCAGCCATGAACCGCCAATTCCGCCAAGCATACAGCTCCCTCTTAAAACGAGGGCCCCAGAGTTTCCATAGGTTTCGTTAGAACTATGTCTTTAATTAATCCAGAACTGTTCCCTCCAGAACCGAAGTGGCCAGTTGACAGGAAAATAGGTGAAAGAAAGACTTGTGGGCATTTTCAAAGACAACCTCTCCCCAGCCCCAAACCAAGTGTGTTCATCCTTTAATCAATGTATCAGCCCTTGGCTTTCCAAGGAGTATTATTGATTATTAATAAATGAATTCTATGCTTTAAATGCTCAGGTGTGGTCTCTGGGGAAGAAAGAAATAGACTAGGGTTGGTTTGGTGCTGGAACCTAACCGCTGAGGATTTGGGGGGACCTATGTCAGAGCAGGGTCAAGAAGCAGCTGGCTTGGGAGATAGCCTTCAGCTAGGTTATAAAACATACGAAGTGACTTAAGAAGATTAGCCTTTTTAACTTCTGAGAAATGACCCCTTCCCCTAAGCACTGCTGCCAGGATCCCCCATCTTTGCAAACACATTTATTCAGCCCAAAAAAGTTTTATACAGCCTGAGCAAGAGCAAGAACCTCATCTCTAAAATAATAGAAAAATTAGCTAGGTGCAGTGGTGTACACATGTAGTCCCAGCTACATGGGAGGCTGAGGCAGGACCATTGCTTGAACCCAGGAGTTTAAGATTGCAGTGAACTGGCTCGGCGCCTGTGGCTCAAGTGGCTAAGGCGCCAGCCACATACACCTAAGGTGGAGGGTTCGAATCCAGCCCAGGCCCGCCAAACAACAATAATGGCTGCAACCAAAAAATAGCCGGGCGTTGTGGCGGGCGCCTGTGGTCCCAGCTACTTGGGAGGCTGAGGCAGGAGACTCACTTGAGCCCAGGAGTTGGAGGTTGCTGTGAGCAGTGAAGCCATGGCACTCTACCCAGGGGGACAGCTTGAGGCTCTGTCTCAAAAAAAGATTGCAGTGAACTTAGCCAGGCATTATGGAAGGTGCCTATAGTCCTAGCTACTAGGGAGGCTGAGGCAAGAGAATGGCTTGAGCCCAAGAGTTAAAGGTTGCTGTGAGCTATGACGCCACAGCATTCTACTGAGGGTGACAAAGTGAGACTCTGTCCCAGTTAAAACAAACAAAAAAAAAGATTGCAGTGAACTCTGATGATGTCACTGCCTAGGTAACAGAATGAGACCCTGCTTTGAAAAGAAACAAAATATAGGGTGGTACCTGTGGCTCAAAGGAGTAGGGCACCAGCCCATATACCAGAGGTAGCGGGTTTAAATCCGGCCCCAGCCAAAAAAAAAAAAAAAAAAAAAAAAAAAAAAAAAGAAAGAAAGAAAGAAAATATATAATCCAGCTTTAATATCCTCTACACAAGGGGTATGGTCATGGAGGGGGACTCCTTGTCTGTGAAAATGGACCTCAGCTTAGCTTAAGGCAAAGGCAGACAAAGTCTCCAGCTGCCCGAGCAGGATTTCACTTATTGGGGCTGATTCACCTGAATCCCAGGTGCTCCCTTCCCTGCACTTGTTATACTGGCTTATGAAAGCAAAAAAACAGAGATTCTAGTTAAGAGGGTTAGCAGGCCAGGAGAGGGGGAAACTCTACCATTTCTTCCATACCATTTCTTTCCTCCAGCATGACCAACATCCTATCACTGTGTGCATGCTTACACATATCCTTAAGCACCTGTGGCCACCAGGTGACGCTGGTTCTCTGTGTTTCCTTTCTGGTTTCCCAGTAGAGCACAGACGGTATCAGCAGGGCTGGAAATCCAGAGACTCCTGACCAGGAAGTATAGATGTGGGGACCTGCACTCTCCCTCTCTCAAAGCTTAGGAAGAAAAGTAAAGAATGAGATACTTATTATTCATGAAATATTTATTGTCTACTTGGGGGAGGACCTGGGGGAAAATATCAGAGTGAGCACCACGATGCCACTGAGGATCAAGTGCTGACATGAACACTCTAGGTACATGCTGCTCCTCCTTACCCCCATATCCATGTTTTTTGTTTTGTTTTTTCTTGTTTGTTTGTTTTTTGATACAGAGTCTTACTTTTTTGTCCTCACCCTCGATAGAGTGCTATGATTTCATAGCTCACAGCAACCTCAAACTCTTGGCCTTAAGCAATCCTCTTGCCTCAGCCTCCTAAGTAGCTGAGACTACAAGCCCCTGCCACAATGCCTGGCTATTTTTAGAGACCAGGTCTCATTCTTGCTCAGGCTAGTCTCAAACTCCTGAGCTTAAGTGATCCACCCATCTTGGCCTCCCAAAGTGCTAGGATTACAGGAATGGGCCAATGCACCCAGCCCCACATCCATGGTTTGAGAGAACAAAGTGAAGTTTGGAGAGATTCAAACAAAGGCAGAAGAACCACAGTTGTGGTGGACAGCAGATACCCTCACATGCAACACACTTCCAGGGCCCAGGAATCCTGAGTCCTAACCTGGAACATGCACTTTGATGTCCTCCTTCCACAAAAGTCATAGCAACCTAAACTGGGTCAAATGGGTCTAGACAAGTGGACTACAGGACCAGTGTGGTGCAGAGATGAAAGTTGCAGTCAAGGCTCTCTGATAATTAGCTCTGTGATCCTGGCAGATCTCTGGACCACACTGGGCCTCACATTTTATCTGTACAAACTGGGGTTTGGAGTGTACTCTTACCATGTGCCCAGTGTAGTTCTATATCCTGTAAATATATTATTTCATGTAATCCTCACAGAACTATCATGAGGATCTAGTATAATCTCTTTCTTTCTTTTTTTTTTTTTTTTT